ATATTTAGTTTTGTCTGTCTCTTTGGTTGAAATGTGACTAAATATTAAGTTACAGGGGGCATGAAAGGCAGAGAGTGAATATCCACATCAGCAGAGACAATTCCTGCAGTATTTACACCTAAAAAAGGCCGGAAACTGAATATAAGACTAAAAACCTCCTACACTGTAAATTGCTTCTGTATATTGAAGGTTCTGACAGGGAATACATATTTTACTACATTTCAGAGAACCTTAAAGGTGCATAGTTATTGGACTTTCCTTTTTTTATTATTTTGTAAAGCAGTAACTCAGTCCAGAAGCTAACAAAGCTTTTCTGGAAGATTACGGCGTCCTGCCGGTGTATTATTGTCATTTTTGCATTTTAAGTTTTGTTTTTGCTTAGTCTGCTGCTCAATAAAGGCCTTCCTGTAGATCTACTATAACAACCATGAACAAAACGTTATTCTGGTTTTTTTTGTAAAGCTATATAACATCTCTATCCACCTTTATATTTAAGCTCTTTTATTAAAAAGATGATTCATACAATTTTAATGTTAGATTTCAAAATTCTAGGATGAATCATAGACATTAAAATGTTGACTACAGGGAAAACTCTCGATTGTCTTTGTTTTGTGTCATGCAGAATTAAGCAAGCCTCTAAAACCAATTATTGATGAAAAATTTTTTTCTGTGCAAATAAAAAGTAAAAGTTTTGTACATCATTGCCATAAAGTTGAAGTTAATCAGTGTGTATAATTATTAAATTTAAAACCTGCTGAATTATAAAATTGAAATCCAACAGAGATTTTCTGCTACTTGAGTAAAACTACCTGAGAAGCTGAGACTGCCACGCTGATATTCTCGGGTGCAGCAGGAGGGTCGGGCGGAGCAGCATCACCAGCTGGGTCAGAAATACAAGCAGAGCCTGAGTTTAAACCGGATCCAGGACTGGGAGCTGGAAGTACTTCCCCTTCAGACACGGAATCCTCTGTTATGGGAATGAACTCTGAGGGAGTGATGGCTGTGGTTCGATCTTCAGATATCATTGGAGACTGAAGTGAGCTCTCGCCACCTCCTCCTGTCAGTTCTCCAGGCCATGACCCAGGGGTGAGCCCTCCGGGCTCCGGAGTGACGGTAGTGGAGCTTGGAGGTTCTAGGTTGACTTCTGGAGGTCTGTGGTGATCAGATGTGCGAGAGAAGCGGTAGTGAGCTGAGAAAGATTTTGGCAGTAGCTGCTTCTTCTGGCGCGAGGAGCGTTTGCTGCTGTTACTGGCCCCACTGAAGTCTTCAAGGAAGCCAGAGTCATCACCTTCATTGGTTCCAGAGCTGCTGATGCAGTTGATGAACACATTTCGATTGGCCGAGGAAGAGGATGACGAGGCCTTGTCAAAGTCCTCAGTCTGCGAGCGTGGGATTTTCTTTTGCTTGTGGCTCCCAAACCCAAATGAGTGACGTGACTTTGAACGCCTGCCACCCTCACCGAATCCTGTCGATGCAGTAACCGTCTGCTGGTCGTTTCCGTTTGCATCAGTTGTCTGCGTCAGGGGAGGCGTGAGGTTCAGATTGATGGGCTGGACCCTTGGGTCGCTGTTCCTTTTAGCCGAGAAACCAAGAGACGGCGCCCGAAACAGGCTGCGGCGTTTGCCAGTACTGCCCGAGCTGGAGTTTGTGCTGGAGGGCGAGGAGGTGTGAACGCCATTACCCACTCCACCCGAGGAGGGGGAGGAAGGGAGAGACTCCTGCCGCTTGCTGGAACTGCGGCGGAAGATTGGCAGGCGTGAAACCAGTGTGGAACGGCGTGAACCTGATTCCCCCATCGGGAAGCTGAGACAGGGAGGCGCTCTGCAGAAACACACATATGACAAAAAAAAAAGTTAACAAAAAGCAGGAATCAGTATTGACTATATGATCTAAAGCACACATTCTATAGAAAAGACAGAAAATACCAGAGTAATTACAGAAAGATGTTTTTTTTAAATTTAAGAAACTTGTGAGTTTATTTATTTCCTAATTTTTAGTCAAACGGATGTTTAAACTATAGGATTTAATGCTAAGCTTTTGGTCTCCTTCCACAAGCTTTAAGAAGTAGTTATGTGACCCATTCCTTGCAACAGAGGTGATGTAACTGAGTCAGGTATTTGGAGAAACCTGCTCACACACTTGTCAAGTCTGCCTATGTGCTACCTATCAGGGATTGATGATGTCATGTTTAGAACATCCTCTCTTTATACTTGAGCCGGTTTGCAAACATTTCATCAGTGTAATTTTGCCACTGTCTCTTTGGAAGACCCAAATCCTGCCAAGATTAAACCTCCTGACTGATCTGTGATTTTATTTTGATAGTTCCACATTATGTCATTTCCTATTGGTGGCGTTCAGCCCTGCCATCTAGGGCTGCATGGTGGCACAGTTTGCGGCGCTGCAGCCTTGCAGCAAGAATCCGGTCCTCTGTTCTTCCTGCATGGAGTCTGCATTTTCTCCTTTTGCATGTGTGGGTTCTCCCCGGGTATTCCGCGTTCCTCCCACAGTCCAAGAATGATGGTTAAATGGAGTCTCTAAATGGCGCTTAGGTGTGAGTGTGTGCATGAATGGTTGTGTCTCTCTGTGTTGCCTGCGACTAATTTGCACCCTGTCCAGGGTGTACCCCGCCTTTTGCCTATAGACTGCCGGAGTTAGACACCAGCCCCACCCTGACTCTGACAGATTTAAGCAGCAGAGGAAGGTGGAAGGATGACGCCATCTATTTTAGTATATTTGCAGACTGTAATCCAGACTAATGCCAGGTAAACAAAAAAAGGAAAAAAGGCTCAGATTTTTTGAAATACTGGCTGGTGTTTGTACGTCCTTGTTACGTTTTACTTGGCATTGTTTGTCTGTCTGTGTGTTTTCCACATAACTAAAACTGGTATGGATGGAATTTGCTGAAATTTTCAGAGAAGGTGCGTATTTTGACTTAGGTGATGATCCGGATTACCACCTTGATCCAGGATTTTTTTTTTTATTATTTTGCAAATATAGGTTAACTTAAGGTGAAAGTCACAATACGTAAGGGGGATGAGCCACTTAACAGAGGTCTGCTCCCTCTGAGTGCTTTTATTTTTAAATGTCTCTTTTGTCTCTGCAGTAATCATCATGAAATAAAAAAGTCAGAATTTTTAATATTGAAACAAAAATCGAAAGCATTAAAACTCCAATTTCTGAGAGAATGTTATCTTATGTTTCAGATCCGAAACTTTACAGCAGTCAATCACAAGACATCTAAACAGCGATTTTATATTAACAATGAAATTAATTCATGAAAACTATCCATGTAGAAACATTAACCCTCTGCTCTAGGTGCTGAATGTTCGAGTTCAGTTTTACCTGTGAGGCAGAAGGGTTTGACTTTCTTTTATGGTACAGATCCACACAGAATTTACAGAAAATAAGAGAGTTGGGCTTTGAAATCATTGTCTGAACTGTTTTCTTTTCTTGTCTTTTTCCCCCCTTTCGGTGGGTGGATTGATGATACAAAATAGCATGCTGTTAAGGGCTAAACTTGCTGAGAGAGATTTAGTCAGATTAGAGTGTGTGTAGGCGGATATTCAGCAGGGCTAGGCAATTAATTACAAGTGCAATACACATAATTATAATTGAACAAAACTTAATTTTAAAGCCGCAGAGGCATTCCATTTTGGTCACATTAAAGGTGTCAGGACTTAGCGGGCAGCACCAGTTAGGTCTCTGCCTGCTGCCTTTTTTCCCACTCTCCTTTTCTCCCGCAGATGGCTGTAGTTTGACGGGGGGGCATGATGCACAGCTGCGGCACGTTCAACGGCGCGATTACAGGAGGATTTAAGTGGAGGGAGGCCGGCTGATCAACACCAGAGTGTTAACCTTGAGCTGTAGGCCGCAGTTGCCCCCCGTCTCCTGACAATTTCACGTTCTCAGAGTAATTCTTGTTTCCCCGTCTTTCTCGGGTTGCCTCATGCCTTGGATTCCGATCCAAATTCTCTCTCGTGCTCTGACGTTCTGGCTTCCGTTCCACGCAGTCTCTCAAGGTCAAACGTCCCAAGACAAGCCTTCTGGTTCTCGTCGTCTCTGGGTCCTGCTCCAGACATTCCTTCGTGCTCAAGACCCCACTCCGAGGCTCCCTTGTTGGTACCAAGCTGGGCCTAGGACCCCACCAGATATCCCGGACCCTCATGCTGTCAGCCAGCCGCTGCTCCTTACCGTCACGCCGTTCGGACTCTACTCACCCTCCATCAGCCAGATCCCTTTTACCTCAGCCACCGAACTCCGGAGCCTCACCTCTTGGAGAACCTGCTGAGTTCGCCATTCCTCACTCCCCCCTGGGTAGAGTCTGCTCTACCCACAAGGTAAGACTGTGACCATCTTCTACCTCCTGGTGCCATATTAACTTTCTGATTCTTTCAGCAGTTAGTGCATCAAACCCGACCATCCACGGCGCCAGTGCCTCCCATGATCCGGCTCCGGTCCTGTTGCGTTCTCACCTAAATATATATCTGTAAAATCATTATCCTGTCTCCTGTGTGTGACCTGCATGTGGGTCAAACACTTGAAAACAATGACAACAGGGCAGCCCTTTAGATTGCAGTTATATGCTTAAAGTGTGTCTGCCACCACACAGAAGGGAAGAGGGTATAGCAGCTAGAAAGCAGATCCATGCATGCAAGAAGAAGTAAAAACTTTTCCACACAAACGTAACAGTTAACTCCTGCAACAATGGACTCTAAACAAGCACGCCTTCAAGGTCATGAAAAAATTGAAACCCTGGAGTGAAAAGGTCTACATGCTTGTTACTGCAAAACAAAATCAAAATAAAGTTTTAGTCGTTATACTCGTTGAAAAACAACAACAACAAAAAAAAAAACATTCAGCCCTAAAATTTAGTATATCAATTATTATATATCTTGTAAAATAGGATTTTGTTTAATTTAACTCAGATATTTTTATATTTCTAGTCAAAATTATAAACCTTCGAGTCGATGCAATCAATTTGATTGTATGGTTAAATTGTACAGTGCCTTGAGATGATGTGTTATGAATTGGAGCTATACAAATAAACTGAATCGAATTGATATCTTAAAGGTTTAGTGGAGGACGTTCTTTTTCCAGGTGGATGAAAATAAGTGGTCCTCCTAATTCTCAATCATTCTGCTGATATGTTTAAATAAGGCTGTCCTACGTGCTTGCTCTCGTTTTCAGTTACTGGTGAGTCTGATATAATAGAAAAATGGCAAATCTTCTATTGGAAAGTAAGCTTGTATGAGCGATGCAAACAGCAACTTTTAAACAGAGCGTGCACGAGGAGAAATGGGCTGCTGCACACGTTTAAAAGGTGTTCCCTCTCTGGAGCCGGTACAGGGTTGTGCAAGCACTACTTTTTTTTTTTTAAGTGGACAGGGCAGGTCTTTTAAAAAATGTATGAAAATCCTCCACCATACCTTTAATACTTTTCTTTGCAGTAAGAGAGGATCTTTGTAACTGGTTGGTTTAACAGCTTGTGGCTGTGTAAAAAGCCATAGCCATTCCAACAGGGTGGTTAGTCAGCTTTATTGATTCCCAAACAAGGTTCTGACAGGTGTTTGGGGCTGCTGTCCTGATGGAATTATGTCCAGGTTTTAAAAACTTAAAGTTTATGATCGAAGGGGGAGGTTGAATTACTTTTAGGTAGTCCTTCAACTTCCCAAATCCACAGCATGATGCTACCACCACCATGGAAAACGTCTGGCTCAGCATTCTGAGAGCCTGATATTGACTCATACAATCACTGATAAGAGGCTATTCATAACAAGTTTGAGCATTTTGCAGCAGGCCCTCTTCTCTCAGTACTCTTAAGGCAAAAGTTATGTAAAAATGTAAAAATGACAACACTCATGTTCACAACGACTGAATGCAAATGTATGACTTGAAGCGTATTGCTGTGGTACTAATTGGCTTGTAAATCAAACAGAGAAAGAGCCTATAAGAGCTTTCCATTTTTGAACAGAACACCTGGTTAACCTGAAAAGAATCAGTTCAGCAACCAAAGCCGCTCCCACAGCCTGTTACGTGTTGGCATGCTGCAGCATAACCATAAAATGAGCTCATTCTGAGACGGATCTGCTCTGCAAGTGCATTATAAGGAACAGCAATCAACGACAGAGTAGAACAGAGCAAACAAGTAGCAGAGTCAATTATCTCTCACCTTTGCCCCAGAAAGCGGAACTAAAAACACTGTTCATTAAATCTACTGTAGCTACACTGTAAGCACATCTTCAACATAGTTAATGCCATAAAGCAGGTCAAAACTCAATGTGCTCAATTAATTTCAGTGAGTAGTTGTGTCTTTCCTTTTGTTTTCTTACATAAATTAGGATTACTTACAGCGCAGTCCGTCTTACACTGTTGAAGCTGCCTGCTAGCCTTCAGGGCTACTGAAGTGTTTTGTTTTTGGTCTCTGTGTAATAAGATTACATTAACACCCTTGAGTGAAGTGGCTAATTAAAATCTCACTTCCTGGACAGTGAATTCGATCAAGTTCTGGATGTGATGGTGATTGGATTTTTATGAAAAAGTTCAGCCGACACAATGAAAACATGGCTCCGTAATTATGTAGAGAAGAGAGATGACACAACATCCACCAACAAACTAATGCTTTGTGTCCCATTACAAAAAAAAATAAAAAGAAACAATTCATGAAAGAAGAGCCACTCACAGCGTCCCTCTATTTTCACCGCACCATCAGCAGCAACAAACAGAGGTAATTATAATTGGGTAGTTTATGTGCGAGCTGATTTGTTAGATAACAATTAAAACACATGGAGCGGATTTAATAGCATGAGAAACTACATGTAGAG